TCTGGCAGGTTAAAGCCATTCCCCTTGGCCTGTCCCTACAGGCCCTTGTCCAAAGCCCCTCTCCAGGTTTCCTGGAGCCCCTTTAGGCACTGGAGCTGCTCTAAGGTGTCCCCTTCAGGAGCCTTCTCTTCTCCAGCTGACCCAGCCCAGCTCTCTCAGCCTGGCTCCAGAGCAGAGCTGCTCCAGCCCTCGCAGCAGCTCCGTGGCCCTTCTATTTTCAAGTTTCTTTACATGACTGGACTGGAGTTCCTGTCTTCCTCCCTCCCTATCAGGCCATACCCGGGTGTCAAACATGCCTCATGCTCGGACACCACGTCTGAGCGAGGGTGACAGCCACACCAGGAGCGGGGGAGAGAAGCTCCTGCTCAGATGGACAAACCTGAGAGAGGAGCCAAGTTTCAACCCTCTCTACAAAATGACCCAGATATCAGGTGTCTGTGTCCATAACTGTGACCATACAGTAGGTCACCTTCTTTAGCAGGTTTGGTTTTGGGTTTTTTTGTCTTAGATGCAAGTTCTGTGTTAAAACTTCCTCCAAGTTTCCAACAGCTTGAAGAAGATCACTGATCCTCCGCTCCAGGGCTGCCCGCAACAGCTCCTGACAAATCCACAAAGCTTTTCCTGACTAGTGTAAAGGACCAAAGTGCTGAATTTATCATGTAAGAACACCCTCCAGCATGTATTTCACATCACCCCTTTCTGAAGGAGCTACTTTTGGATATCTGAAAAGAAGAAAAGCTGTATATAAGACATTCAAATGCACGCAGAGGGGGACAGACAAAAGACATTTGCATTTCAAATACAGGCAGTGGGTTCATTTCAAATATTTTAAGGCTATGAAATGCAGGACTTCTTGGTGGGTTTTTTTTTTTTACATGTCACCAGAAGACAGAATTCATCTTATTTTCACTCAGCCCCTCTAACCAGGCCTGGCTAAAGCTACTGTGCACTGGTAACTTTTCCATGGCCACCAGAGTCTTTAAATGCAGCACTTGAGAGACACATGCAAAGAGAAGATCACACTTGGCAGGCCACAGCTGATGCAGCCAGCAGCAGCCTCCAGTGCTGGGGCCTTAGCCCGAGCAACCACGACAAAGCCTATTTCTGAGAGCAGAAATGCTGAGAAGCCCTGGATGAAGCTCTCTGTGCACTTGTTGCTCTAAGTCAGACAGAAGTAACTGGTATTTGCCATTGTTTTAACAGTAAAAGGCAGTATTTTGGCAGGGTTACAAAGCAAGGCCATTCTTTATATCAGCAACTGAGAGACTGTCCATCCCTGCTGAGGAACCTGACAGAGGAAACGTATTTTACAGCAATCTTGGATACAACATAGAATTGGGACCTATTTTTACCATGTGCTCTGCACTACACGCATTAATTGTTACAGCAACAATATTTGCTGACATATTCACTCAAATAATTTACAGAATAGAAGCCCAAGAGACAAAACAAGCCCTTGCTCCACGAGACAGAGAGAGTCAGGCAGGATGCCACATTGCTTCCTGTGACACACAGAAAACCCTTATCTACAATGGATGATCGCACTGATAACCCATCCCAGTGCCTGGCGAGCACCATGGGGCTGTCCCTGGCTGCCGGGCCCCAGGGTCAGACACCGGCTGAGCTCCACAGGGTGAGAAAGGAGGGAATGGCCCAGCTTATGGATCACTATGACCCGGCCTCCTTCTGCCAAGCATATGTCCTCAGCATCAGAAGGACATGGAGCTGTTGGAGCAAGTCCAGAGGAGGCATGAGGATAATCAGGCGGTCTCCCAGTCAGGTTTGCAGAGAACGAGTGTGTTTCAGGAAGAACTTACAAATGAAGTGCTGAGGTCTCTCTGATGGCCCCAGTGGCCCCAGAGCACCCTCTTAAAAGCAGAAATTGGTCAGTTTTGATGTGGCAGTCAATCCTCTGCAGTTCTGCACTGGGATCCTTCCCACCCTGCTGGCCACCGCTCCCTACACACACAGACCCACTGGGAGCTGCAGCATCAGGCACCCTAGGGCAACCGGCCAGTGTCTGCTGGGCACGCAGCTCTGAGAGCTTGGATTGTCCTTGAGAGCAACGGCAACGTGAAACTTGTACAGTCTGCAGAGGACATCTGGACAAAACCAGCCCAAAATGCCACAGATCAAATGTAGGTAAATAAATGATTCAGAACCCAGAGCATTTGACAAATCATAGTATCTTCCTGTGCCTAATGGTATAAAATATGCAGCTGTTCCACCACCACAATTTACAGGGAAGGCATTTCTCCTGGAAGTAAGCGAACACTTCGTATATACTCCTAGCCAGACCGATTACCCCTATTTATATTGTAAAATAAGACAGCATGGACTAAAAAGCCACACAGTTAAACAGTTCCACACTCCAGACCATGGGAAAGGGGTCACTTCTCTATCATGGGCTGCAGTCATCTGCATTTCTTACAGATATCACAGAGTTTTCTGCAGCATGTTTTTCTGTATGTGCTGATTCGTGTGGTATTTCAACACCCACCAGGAAGAACACTGCTATTTTATGGGATCTCAGGGAACCAGAGAATCCATAAGGTTTTTTAAAGATTTTTCTCTAAAATAGCAAAGAAGCCAGCGTGCCACTTTACAACAACTGCAGTTTGTTCCTGGAACGATAAAGCTACAAAACTGAACACAGTATCTTATTTCTGAATATATACATTTATCCTGAAGTAAGACCAACCCGTTATACACCGATCCCATCTGCACGGTGTGACACCATCCTCCTCTTACAGCCAACCTGCACAGCTGGACAACTCTCATGTTCTCTATAAATTACAGAATCAGTTTCAAGGACTGACACCAGATACGAGCAGAGGTCTAGAAAATGCTCTGTGGAGCATCTGCTCAGGAGTTGTTGCTATTCTTACACCACTTGTGCAGTTCCACCAGGCCAGGAGACCCCGTGAGCTTAACCACAAGGCACTGAGCCAGGCCTCACTCAAGTGCTCAGCTCACTTGTTTATTCCTAAGAGAAAGCTCCTTTTCCAGCCAGATTTGCAGTTTCTTCTTTTTTTCTCTTTAAAGACTGATAAGATGAGAGATGTTGAAGCTGCAAGTCAGTCTCTATTACAGTTTTGGAAGGGATAGGTTTCGGTGTGTTACTGTAACAAATACAGGAGTGAAATTGGAAGAGATGGAGATTTGAGCTAACACAATTAAAATCTCTTCTTAACAACAACGCACAGATACCCAGTGCCAAACACGATCTGGAGCTATCAACCAGCATGGACATGAATGCACCTAACAGCTTCTGGAAAAAAATTACAGTCCTAAAACCAAACCCTCCTATTAAAGTAATTAAGTGTTATCAGAATCACAGGGCCATAATTAAACATGGTTTATAATTAAAACAGCATGTGTCCTAGACAGAGAACACAGCAATAAAGACACTATAACCACGATACTCTGCCAGAACACATGCCAAGTACCAAAAACCAGAAAAGCAGCAGAGTTCCTAGCAGAATGCCTCTGTTCTCCTGACTTAGCCATCACCACTCCTGAGGGATGCAAGAACACACAGAACTCCTCACAGCAATGCAAGATGTTGCCAAAGTTTAAGGAGAAATCTTGGGAACCAAGTAGAAGACACTGAGTGCAAGACCCAAAAAGCTGAGGCATGGAACAAGCATGAATTTTAACTCAAACAAGCCTTGTCCTACCTGGCAGCGGCTGAAGATATCCGAGAGGGATACTTGAACGTTGAAGTGCTTCAGAACCTGCAGGGCCTGTTCTTTTGCCTTTTCTGAGCTGTTCACTGAGAAACACCTTCCTTCTGCTACCTGCGACTGCAGCTTCAAGAGAGAAGTCATAAACCAAAAAGTCAATAAATGAGGCACTCCAGACATCAGGATCTGGGGGGGGTGTCTATAAGACAATTGGTTTGGTTTTAATTACAAATAAGTTAGGATGTGTTTACAGTCTAAATTTTGATCTACCAAGCATGACTGGCAATATAACACTGCTGCAATAGCTCCGAGACTACTGAAGCACTGCTGTATTTTATATATATATATATGAAACATGATTGCTCAAGTCCCCTTCAAATTATAATGTGCTGGTGTGGTGCTGACAGGCATAGCAAGAGGAAAGTGACTTTAATCACAGCTTTCGCATGGAACCTGGCCAGATCACACACAGTATGCAAAGCGCAATCGTAGAATTATGGTATGGTTTGGGTTGGAAGGGACCTTAAAGCTCCTCCAGCTCCAAGCCCCTGCCATGGGCAGGGACACCTTCCACTAGAGTACGTTGCTCCAAGCCCTTGTGTCCAACCTGGCCTTGAACACTGCCAGGGATGGGGCAGCCACAGCTTCTCTGGGCACCCTGTGCCAGCGCCTCAGCCCCCACACAGGGAAGAGCTTCTGCCTAAGAGCTTATCTCAATCTCCCCTCTGGCAGGTTAAAGCCATTCCCCTTGGCCTGTCCCTACAGGCCCTTGTCCAAAGCTCCTCTCCAGGTTTCCTGGAGCCCCTTTAGGCACTGGAGCTGCTCTAAGGTGTCCCCTTCAGGAGCCTTCTCTTCCCCAGGCTGACCCAGCCCAGCTTTCTCAGCCTGGCTCCAGAGCAGAGCTGCTCCAGCCCTCGCAGCAGCTCCATGGTCTCCTCTGGACTGGCCTGAGGGAGGTGATGTCCAGTTTTACCACTTCAACCCCTCTAGTTTATACACCATTTCACCTGGAGTTCACTGACATCCGATGGATTTGCACTGAGTGATATGCACAGTACCTCAATGTTTCACATGTAGCAGAGAAGTTTGTGTTAGGGAACAAGCACTAGGAAGTTCCAGACACAGAATGAACAGAATGAGCACTCTCAGCAAGGTGGGACCAGCTACATGCAAGTAATTGAGGCCACCAGAGCCATCCAGTCCTTGCATAGGGCATACAATGGCAAAGGAACAAATGGAACCAGGCATTCCCCAGGACAGCATCGTACCCTGGGAAACAGTTGTTTTCTTTCTGCAATCCCTACACAGTACTTTGAAGTTAAGGCTTTGCCAAGTAAGATTATGCTGGGTGCTGAATTACCTATTACATCAACTGTAGGCTCAAGGAACCACAGCACGGATAAGGAACCTGTAGCATGGCATGGCTGCACTTGCCTCACAGTGTCTCACCATGGGGACAGTTTTCAATGCTCAGGTATTATGTAGGAAATTAGCAACTTATATTCTGCAAACACTCCAACTAGCTACTTGAGTAGTTGGGATACAGCTCATGTGTGTAATCCAGAAGAGTTGCACTCTTCCAAGTGAATTTCTGGGCAGTAACAAAGAGCAAAGGACCTGCAGCAGGCATCATCACACTGCAACCACTGAGTTGACAGGTTCCATGTACTCCCACCAACACTGTTTTGAAGTGTGTCTCATGAAGGGCTCTGAACATCTGGTGCTGACGGTAAGGGTGGGTTTTGCTTTGGTTTTTTTTTTTTTTTTTTTGTGTATTTATAGGAACACAGAACCCCTCTGGCTTCCACCCGGATCTCTGCCTTGTGCCTTCCATTCCCTCCCTTCCAAGCCTGAAGAAACGTGTTTAAGAGCTGAAACTATGTCAGCGTGGAGCCAGTCAGTAAACAAGAATCTTTGTGATAAAAAGCATGGGAATTGAGCTGCCTTTCACCTGCCAGTGAGGACAAACAGAAACACTTTGTTCTGGATTGCTTGGCTTGATTTCCATCCCTGCCCCAATGGAGAGCAACCGCTCTCCCCACTGAGGCAAGACTGAGTATAAGAAATATTTGCCCCCAAGCTTTGGTCATTCAGAACATCAAACCTCTCAAGACCCTTAATGTAGTTTTTAATACAGAAAACATGAAAAAGCCAAACCAGCTGTTGCATTCACATCTGACTCTTCCTCTTCTCTACACCACATATCCCAGACCACGCAATGATACAATGCCAGAAAAATGCCAGAAGCTCGAAACACTTACAGTCTGATATGGGAGTCCAGAGGTTAAAATGACTCTTCCTTCCTGTCGGGCAATCTGGAAAAAACAGTAAAAATCATCATGAATATGGGCTGAACTTCCACTGGATTCAAGCTTTCCTTTCAAAGCAGAAGAACATGAACTGGCAATAGCAAGTCATTCCTGATGCACACACCAGGCGAAGAGTATTTGGGTCTGGTTCAACAACATGCTCTTGACAGCAATAGGAGCTCAAGGTATCACTCACTCACTACATGTCTCCTACCTGCCAATACCTGCCTTGTGCTGGAACAAGCTACTTGTGCATCTGCACTGCAGATGGCTCAGGGAACTGATCCGCCCTGAAATAATCCTATCAAAACCTTTTCTATCCCTTTTTTCCCCCCTTGACCCAGACTATTTCTATTTCCCCAGTCTGGTTCACAAACAAAAAAGCAGTTCTGCTCATACAGCAATAAAATGCACAGGAGAGAAAGATAAAAATAACCTAAAAGCAGGTTATTCCAGGAAAAAAAAAGAAGTACCATTAAATGTGCCTGCAGACTTTATAGACATTCAGAGAATGATGCTCACTCCACTCCTTAAAGATAAGATGGTGTTATTCTCCCAGCAGCCCCAAGCAGACATGCAGAAATGATGCACCCTTTCCAGGCTGCAAGGAACATCTCCATCAGAGTTCATCACCTCCTGATTTGCAATCCTGCTCTTCTATCAGAGGTCTTGGCCTTCAAGGGAAAAGTCTGTGCTGGATTATCAGGGGACTCATCACCCGCACTTCTGACCTTCGCAGTGGAGTAAGAGACACTTGCAAACGGTTCGGTGCCAAAAGCAGATTCTAAATCTGGAAGTGCAATTCTTCACAAGGTTGAAAGTGTGACTGATCTTCGTATGATGGAATGATATCCCCCTCCCACCCCTTCACCCCCTCCTCCAGGAGAGAAATAGTTTCATGGCTGTAGTGATAGGATTCCCATGTGAACCACCACTGCAGCTCTGCTCATGCTGACAAGAGATTGGCACTTCAAGACTTCAAGGTAGGCACGAGGTTATTTCTCTTCTCTGGCTTGGATTCTGTTGGAAGCCCTCAGATGTTTCACTGTTCCAGATGTGTGACACAGAGGTCTCTCTTGTGGATTAAATGCTCTCTCTGGATCACTCTTTAGCCTTGGCAGGAGGACACATCTGGGAGCAGAGTCCTGCTCCACTTTCCAGACAGTCTGACACCACCCAGCACAGCCAGGGAACACAGGGAAAACAAACCAGGGTTCTTAAACTCTGTCACAGGGAGCCACTGGAGCTATGGCAACAGGAAACAAGGGGAGAAGGCTCCAAAGGCACAAACTCCCTGTGCCCGGCAGTACTGGGGTAAAGGTTGGACTTGATCTTAAAGGTCTTTTTCAACCTGGTTGATTCTGTGATTCCATAACTTTTTTCCTGTCTATCTTGACCTTTCAGGTAGCTGCCTCCCTCCCTTTGTGGTGAAGTCACTCCTTGGCTGCCAGTTCTGCACTGAGAAAGTGGTTGGCACCAACTTCTAAAGCATCTTCCTACAGGCAAAATTACTGGATTTCTCTCAAAATCAACCCTCTCCCTCCATAAAGGAAAACATCTACAAGAGCAGGAACCCTGAAGTGGCAGCAGAGACACCCTGTGCTGCATGAATCCTACTACACACAGTCTGGGTTACTGAACACCCTGCCAACAAACCACCCTCATGGCACACTAAGCCCAGTAAGGCACCAGCAAAAGTTCAGCACAGTGACTTGCTGACAAGGGAAAAGAGATGTGAAATTCCTCCAGACCCATGTGTGCTTCAGGGTAAGTCTGAGGATTTCACAGCTGGAACACTCCATTCTGACTTCCTGCATGCAGGGTTAATTAGTTCAAGCTTGATAAATCCCCTTATCTAAATGGCTCTGCAGAGACAGGCAAAGAATATCAAATAAAAAGGAGAAAAGCAATAACTCTTCCAGCGTGTTTTTCCGCCTCTGGAACAATGACTGGGAGAAGCATGCAGGGCCAGAGCAGCCATGTGATAGCACACGTCTGACTGAAACCACGGACGATTCATGCTGCAGAAAAGAGCACGATTCCTTCTTTTTCCCTGACAGAAGTAGCAGGAGGCAGTGCTGGGCCCAGCCGGGAGATGTGTGCTCTGATGCAAGTAAAAGGCCAAGAACACCCTAAGTAGCATGTTGGGATGGGTGTCAGGGCCTTGTGCTCCATGCCAAGTGCTGCAGAGAGGGCACTGGCCTCAGTTTCACAATTTATTAAACAGATAACATCAACTTCCTCTGGAAAAGGCTTAGACCTTCTGGATAGAAAGCACTCCCTAATAACTTGGTATTATTACTTAGCCCTCAATGTGCCGGTCTGTTCAGCCAGCTTTCATCTTGCAGAGGTGAATGAACTCCAATGAATTACTATGAGAGAGGCCTGGAAGTACAATGACTGATGAGAGGGCAGAGAGGGATCTGACATTTCAGAGACAGCACCAGCAGCAGAGTGATTCGTCATAACCTGACTGAAGGTCAGTGAAGGCTTCATGAGACAGCAGCCCAAGCCTGCAGGTCTGTAATTTAAAAATTTGCAAAGCCCATGTACAGCTCTTGTTGGGCAATGCCACCTGTCCCCGAAGAGGCAAAGTGCAGTGCTCCCTCTGCAGGGTAACAGTGCAGCAAAAGCTGTGACCCCATTTGCAGTGGCAGAGGTGGTGCAGTGACCCTTAGCCCAGGCCAGCAAAGTCCCAGTTCAGACAGAAAGGGAGCAGACAGAAAGCATCTGCTCCAGGATGTGTGCTGGAAAAACACTCAGATGAGGACCGACTAGGGAAGTGGATCACAAACCGCAATCCAACCCTGGAGCCCCTACCTGCTATGTCAGGCTCTTTTAAAATAGAAAGTAAACCAAGAGCTGAATAACTAAACACACTCCAAACAGCCCTGCAGTGCACTTGCTGTACTGCTGGTACCCCAGGCTTCTCTTCAGCATTCCCCAAACCCATCAATTGTACAAAGTTATTGCATGATTTTCTGATGTGGCCTTAACCACCACATCAAAACCATCAACCCAGTTTTGTTTCTTAATGTAAATTCCACTGTACCAAGGTCTCCCATGAAGGACATTCTCCTGCTGATCAAACGTCAAAAGCAAAGTCTTGATCTTAAAGGCAGAAGACGTCTTCATCTGTCCTCTGTGAATTCACAGGCTGGCAGGGAGGTAAAAGCACTGGCAAACCTCAAGAATGGTGTTTACATCAAAAACATGGAAAAAAACATTCAAAGCTGAGACAAGATGAGAGATTAGATTCCCCCATTAGAGGAAGCTCTGTTCACTGCAGTATTAGAAGTCCCCTTTGTTTCTCACGGCTTCAGACCAGTCCAAGGCAATTTAGATCCAGATGCCCATTGCTCCTGAAATCCATCCAAGCCCAGTCCTCCTCTCCAACCTGGGTCACCTGGAACTTTGGGGGTGTTGGTATAACCTTGCAAGGGAACCTACTGCACCATGGGACCTACAGGAAGCCAGTTGTACCAGCCTTTTGGTTATTATCACATTTCAAAAGACACCAGGTTTGCCATAGTGTGCAAATAATTCTTAGACATGAAGATGATTTTGAAGACCAAGAGAACAGTCCATTAAAAAAATAAAACAAACCAACCCACAACTCAACCAATGGGGTTTCGAGATCCCACCAAGTCTCTTAGAATCAGTGCCCAAAGGGACTACCAGAATTTTCTTAGATGCTTCTGCTCTACTCCTGAAGTACAACATTGCAAGATCTACTGCAGTCACATCAGGCTGGTGGATGATCCTTTAAGGTTAGCATGAGAAGCACCCCTCTGCTCTATCTGATTCTGCAAAACTGCAGAGAAAAGAGGAATACCCACTGAACGTTTCCTACCTCCTTCCAGTTACCCGTCTAGAAGATCCCAAAAGATAGCTTTAAGAATCACTGCAAAGAGGAGTGTGCAGGAGATAAGGTGGAAGACATGGCTAGAAACACAAGGGCATAGCACTGTGCCAGGGCCTCACCACCCTCCCAGGGAAGAACTTCTGCCTAAGAGCTCATCTCAATCTCCCCTCTGGCAGGTTAAAGCCATTGCCCTTGTCCTGTCCCTACAGGCCTTTGAAAGAAAAAAGTATTAATTGGAAATAACAAGTTGCTCGTATGAACAAGTGCAAATGCAAAGGGTGGCTTACCCCAGTGATGGCACCTGCACACATCAAAGATCGAATCTCCACATTCTTTACCAGATGCAGTCATTCTTTACTTTGGGATGGAGTCAGAAGCCCCTGGTGAGGACCAGCAGGATGCACACAGTGCAAGATTCAAGAGAGGCCTCCCTTTACGCCCCACAGCAGGGAGCCAGGCTTGGGCCACTACCCAAAGCCCTCCTGAAAGGTCTATAAGAAAAAACCAAACAAATCCATAGCTGCCCCAGCACAACCTGCAAATCTCTCAGGCTTTGAAGTTTGGCGCAGGACAAGACCCATCTGCCTACCAACACCTGAAGTCACTTTAAGGAGCGACAGGAATGAGAACAATAAGAAGCAAATGCCAGGCAATTCAGGAGTTCTTGGCACACGTTGATGTGTAACATGACTGATAAATCATTTGAGTAAAATGACTTTCATGAAGAAAAAACACAAACTCTGTACACAATTACGTGTTCCTGGTGACACTAGTTTGAGACTGGTGGGACAACACTCAAACTGTCTCTCTTGTATTCAGTGACCAGGATCCAAACCTTTCTCCCAGCCTTCGCAATAACATTTTCATGTCTTTGGGCATAGGGAGGTCAAAATTCAACTTCTATTAAATCAGGACAAGCCAGATATAAAGCAGGGTAGGAGGAGTCTATTTTTATCTTTGATTGTCCAAGCACAGATCAAAGGCTCTGCAATACAGTAACGCTCCAAAGGCTTTTGATAGTGAAAGGATGTTTGTCCGGTCACCATAGAGAAAGTAATGTAAAACATCCTGTCCATGGCATGATAAGGTATCAGGATGAGAAGCGGAGCTGGGGCTCTGGGGGCAGGCACTGAGAACAAGTTTGTTTAAATGACTTGTGCAAGTTTGGCAGAGACGAGATATTAATTATTTCTGCAGAAGTCTGAGCCTGCCCAGGATCCAGGCCAAGCAGACATCTGAAGAGGAAACATCCTGTGCACCAGACTGGGTGATCCGTGCACATTTGATACCAACACACTGTGTGGGCCGGATATCTCCAGTTCTGGCATAGCAGAAATATGTCTGAAATGAAGCAGCATGTGCCCCTCCTCCGAAAGGCAGAGGGTCAAAGCTGTTATGGGAGTCCAAATCAATGTTCATTGTCCCCAAGTATGTTAGAGACTCTTTCTTTCCCAGATATTTCACTGCAAGTTGTGGCTGATCAGCTTTGAGTCATCTCGCAAGGTGGTAGCCAGCTAGGATGTTATATAGCAATTTCATAGAATCCCAGACTGGTCTGGGTTGGAAGGGACACCCTTCCATTAAAGCTCATCCAGTTCCAACCCCCTGCCAAGGGCAGGGACACCTTCCACTAGAGCAGGTTACTCCAAGCCCCTGTGTCCAACCTGGCTTTGACCACTGCCAGGGATGGGGCAGCCACAGCTTCTCTGGGCAGCCACAAACTGCCAGAGAAACAGAAACAAATAAGATTTGAGATCACTGCACTCTGCTCACCTCCTCTCCCCTGTGAATGGAGAGCCAAGGCCCCACACTGCTGTAGGGACTAGATAACACCAGCTGCCATGTGGCACAGCTTCTTGGACTGAGCCAGAGGACCTGGTCTCAGCATGGCACAGGAGGAATGCACTGGGCAGCTCCTGCCAACCCACTGCCTGTTGCACATGAGTGAGTAACCAGTGCAGTTACACAGTGAGCAGCAGGCATGTCCAGGGAGTGCACATGGGAGCTGTAAACATACTCACCCCCATGCACATGACTAACCTCAGCAGCCTTCCTATGGTCATCGTCATTCTCCAGCATCCGGACATCTACACCAAGGCAGCGAAGATAGCGCCCAAGGCCTTGCAGCATGTTATCGCAGACCACGCTGAACTCCTTTGGGGAGATGGGAGCAGGGGCACATAGGGTCTCCATTCCAGATCCTTGGCATTGCTACAGAAAGGCAAGAGAACTGTAGGGAGCACAGTGGAAGGTTGACTTCCATACATTTGTGTATTGCTTCCCTCAGTCACCTGCCATGGCAAATCCAACTGTCCCCTTCCACCTGCATTACAATTTCCCGCCATGCTCAATCTACAACACCCCTCATTCCTCCTTCACGTCCCTCAACATCTCCCACCTACCAGTTGGGCAGGAAGCAGCACACGATGGGGCTCATTCTGAAATAGCTCCTCACTCACTGGCCACGCAGGCCAGGGATCTACAGCCTTCCACTGGAGAAATCCCAAACTGGCCTTCTATGCTCTACACAGCAATTCATTTTCATCAAGGCACAGAAGCACATCTTCAAGACTCCTATTCCCCTATGGAATTAAACTGCAATTAATGTACATGTGCCCAAGTTATGATTTGGGAAGGGGATCTGACAGACAAACAGGTACACAAAGCAACCACGTCAGCTTTGTTACCTTCGGAAGGTTAAAAATAGGCAGTGCCTGAATTCTGTTTATGTTATTTCCAATGTCTGCTGCTGGGAGAGTTCCTGCAGTTGGAGATGCCGATGGGAGGCTCCCAGAAGTACAATAGATAAAAACATGGAGAAGGGAAGTTATTAAGGAACCTCCAATGTTCAGGTTTTGCCTTCAGGAACTTGTATCAGCTGGGATGACTGAAGGACACAGCCACCACCTATGCAGGGCTACTCTGTCTGTGGAACCAGAGAGCTCCTGCAGCATTGCAGATGGGTTCTGCAGGAGCTCAACCCATGTGCTGCTGCACCTCCCAGAAGCTGGTACACGCAAATCTCTGCAGCACTGGGTAGACTCCTGCAAGGACCTTGGTGGATGCAGCTGAAACATCAGCGTGCTGTGGTAAGGAATCAAGCTGACCCTTCCATGCTGAGGTAGCTGGAAGACACTAACCCTGCACTGCTGCTTGTGTTGTAGCAGATCGGAGGGAGCAGCAGCTGGCTCTCAGCACATGTTTACTCCATGGCCAGCAATGTCCATGTAGCTTTTTTGCTCACGTTTCATACCAGCAGAGATCAAAAAGCTTATAAAGGAGAAAAGTGTCATTAGCCCCAGTTCAGAAAGTGGAGCAGGAAACACTGGGAAAGAGCTTGGAGCCGTGCAGGATGCAGTCAGGAGGACTCCGCTTGTCTGAGTCCCAGTCCAGGTTTTACCAGCTACCTCTCGCTTAGTGAATCTGACTGCACCGAACACAGAGATGACCTGTGAGTTCACAAGGTAATTCAAGCCTGAAGTACTTACTTTTCCCATCTCTGCAGCAGCCAGTCAGATCTGTTGTAACATACAACATTCCCATCAACAGTGCTTAGGAAACTACCGAGCTGCTTTGTGTTTTACTGCCTAAGACTAATGGGATACTGTCCATTTACACACACTTGATAAGGAGGATCCTGAAGAGGTGGCTATAATCCATAGCATCTCAGTCCAACCAAGGAAGGTGCCATTGACTTCAGGAGCTAAATACACACTTGGGACTATCCAGAAGGATACACAGCCATAGTGAGTCTTCTCAGGTAATAAACTAAACTGGTTTTCTGCTGATGTTTTCATAGGTGCATAAGCAACCAGATGTGAGTGTTTTAAAAGTAAAACTTTACTACAGAGAGAGAGGGACCAGTCATATTCCAAGATGTTTAAACAGAGTCGCCCAGCTCCAAGTTATGGCCAGTGGAGTTTTAAGGCTCTGCCACAACACACACTGCAGGGGAAGCCAGGCATGGAGTACATGGTGGTGAGCAGGGAAA